CTTGAGACGGTGCTCCTCAAGGTACTCAAGCTGGTCCTCCTTGAGGAAAAGTGTGATCTTGGTACCCCTGCCCAAGTTTTCACCAGAGGTGTCCCTAGTGACAGTGAATGACCCATCAGCTTGAGATTCCCATACATACTGCTCATCATCATTGTGCTTTGTGGTAACAATTACCTTCTCAGCAACCAAATAAGCAGAGTAGAAACCAACACCGAATTGTCCAATCCTGCTGATATCAGCACCAGCAACCAATGCCTTCACAAATTCCTTGGTTTCAAACCTTGAATGGATACCAAGATTGTTCACCAAATCTAAGCAAAAAAATAGCAGTTATCATCAATGGAAAACATCATAATCCTGGCACAAACATTGGACTGAAAAAATTGTAGAAACGAACTTACCAGCCTTGGTCATGCCAATACCACTATCAATAATAGACAGGGTGTTATTGGTCTTGTCAGGTGCAACACAGATAAAGAACCGTGGCTGGGCATGGAGCTTGCTCTTGTCTGTCACGCTCTCAAATACAATTTTGGCCAAAGCCTAACAAGTATAATGACAGCAACATATCAACAAGTAATTATAAGAGTACAAGTAAATCCTTACAAATTTTTTTGGAATATCATTGGTTTAATCCTTAATGTCCAACCAAAAGAAGAGAAACAACACATCAGGATGACACGCATAACCCTACCAAAGTAGGAGGGGTAGAAGCAGAACCCTTTTAAAAGCATCAAACATTTATTCCAGAAAAAGCTCATAACTTTGACACGCATACAATGCACAAAAAACCCACAATCCATCCGATAAATAAACCATGAAAGCAGCAAGTATGGAATAATTGACTCAACAACAAGACACTAATAGCACGAAAACTAAAACGCGACTTCACGAATCAACGAATGAAGGAAGAAGGAGGTACGCACATCAGAGGCGTTCCTGATGAGCTCAGAGAGGAAGATCTCCTTGTTGCTGTGGGAGTCGTCGATAATCAAGCTGAGCAACTGGTCGATCTCATCCGGGAAATCAAACTTCTCAGCGACCGCCATGGATTACGCTCCTTTGAATTGAATAAAAGCAATAGGTGAACATAGTGTTTATATGGAGGAAGAACGACGGTGAGGTTTTCGTTTTATGCTTGATTTGGGTTTCCTACTTCTTTCATTAATTTAAGTCGTCGCGTCACAAGCTCACTAGCACTTGCACTCTGTAACAGGCACTCGCCCTACGATATTGACACGTCAATCCCACTTTAAACAAAGATTTGCTGCCGATTAAGATTTCCAAAATATATTTTTTAAAGATTTTTTTAATTTGTATTTTAAAAATCCAGATTAAGAATTAAAAAAATAAAAAATAATATTTAATTTTTTAATTATGTTATTATATGTATTTATATGATAATAATATTATAATTAATGTTTTCTTTTACAATTTTTATATAATTTTACTAAAAAAATATTTTTTTTAACTCAGCAAAACTTGTTTAATTAAAATACAACTATACGATATCTACATAAAAGATTTTTATTTCAGTGATAAGAACTCATGATAGATCAAAGAAAATTCAACTAGAAATAACAAGCAAAATAGATCAAGCTCATCAAAGAACAAATAAAAAGAAGGACAGAGAAAATCACACAAACAACTTATAAAGAACTTGATATTTTACAAATTCCTTTAGTTGATCGTTTTAGATCTAGACATCCATCAATTTACTCTTAAAGATGAGCTCGGTCTCCAAGATGCCAGAGCAAGAAGATCAGCGATTACGCTTAATTTCTGCATAGTTGGCCTGTTGATCATCAAATATGAGGAAACAAATAAAAAAAACAAGAAAACAGTAAAAAAAGAAACGAAAAGGACCACCGAAGGGGTCAAAAAAAACTGACAGAGCACTCAAGGTGGTCATGGAACATTGGAGCACAAGAAGTCAGCTCCAATGTACATGAGAAGCCTGAGGGCTTCTCAACACCCAAAAGCTCGGGAAGCCAAAGGCTTCTGACACCAAAAAAACAAAAAAACCAAGCTTGGGGTAGATGTAGTTAGGAGGAGACTTCCAGAAAGAGAAAGCGTGAGGGAGTTAAATCTCTCAAAAAAAAAGGCTATTAATATATGCTCAACACAAATTAAAAATATATATGCATATTTTTTAAATTTCCTCCGTAAACTTCTGGACTGGAGTTTTACCGAGCTATTGTGCTGTGACAACTGGTTCTCCGGCTTTCCCTTTCTATTTTTTGATTAATATTTACATAAATTATTAAATTTTCAATTAAAATTTGTAGCTAAAAAAAAAAAAAACAGAGAAGAATATGCTTTTACACTGGTGGACTTCGGGTTTGGGATTTGCCGAGCCATTACGTGTTGGACTAGAGGAATGACATTTTTATTGCAAGTAAAGTAAAGGGATGATATTGAACATTTCCTTAATAGAGGGATGATAATGAATATTTTCATAAAGTATGAGGACTACAGTTGGCTTTAAGCCTTTCCTTAGCTGATAAGTTATTTTTTTGTGCTGTAAAATAGGAGGGGAAGCAAGTGTTTTTTTTCCCTTTATTCACCTTCTAATAATTAATATTTTTTTTATTGATAATTTGATAGTCCAAATAAAAATAACTTGATTATTTTTAAATAAATAAGAAATTAAGTTTGAATTTTATAAATAAAAAAATAGATTTTGAAAGAACTTATCTTATAATTTGTTAGTTTAAGTAAAAATAATTTGATTCTTTTTAAATAAATAAAATTTTAAATTTGAGTTTTCTAGGTAAAGAAATAAATTATAAGAGAGTTTTCTTTACCGACAAAACTTTCAAATTTATCCCTACTCGTAAAAAAGGTGGGTAGGATAAATTCACCTCTCAAAAAAATATAAGAATAAATTATCCTTTCAAATTATGAATTAAAACTGATCACACATTTTTTAAGTGATTTTGTTTGCCATATAAGTATTTTTTAATAAAAAGTTGATAAAATTTATCATGATTTATAATTTGAAAGGACAATTTATTCTTGCATTTTTTTAGAATGAATCTTTCCGTAATTATCTTTTTGAGGGGTAAATTTGAGAGTTTTAATTCCCTTATAAGGTTAAATTTAACTTAATTCTAAATTAATTAAAGTTTAATATAAATTTTGAATATCAAAAGTTTAGATTATTATTTTTTTGTATTGCCAAATCTGAGATGTCTTTTAATCTATTTTACTTATATGTCATATAATTTAAATTTAAAATTTATTATTTTTA